CCCCCCCCCTCACCTCTCCCACCGACACCTCCCCTCCTGCCCTTTCCCTCATTGTCTGCACTTTGCCCCCTGGCATTTGTCTCTCTCTCTCCTGCACCCTGTCCCTTGGTGCCTTCCCCTCCCAAGCCCCTTCTCCTTCAGCCTCCTTGCCTCCGCCCAAGCCCCTTCCCTACCTTCTGCCTTCCACATTGTGGGGCCGGAGGCTGCCGGAGCCAGTGTGGCTCTGCCACGTGCCTCCGAAGACTTTTAAAATCCCGGGCCATCACGCCCGGGTGTCCTCCCCGCCCATGTGCAACGCCGCACATGGGCAGCAGCAGGCGGTGAAGAGGAGCCGCACACGGGGGTGGGGTGGGAGGATGCGCGGGGGATGACCCCAGGCAGAGCTGGGGGAGAGACCCAACTCCACATATAGGTGGAGCAGGGCCCCAGGCTCTGTAACTCGCCGGCACTTCCGGGTTCAGGGGCGGAGGGCCCGAATCGGCCTAAGGCCAGCCCTGCCCGCAGCCACCAGCCATGCTGAGGCCCAGTATCGGGCAGCGGCCCACAGTTTGGGAAACGCTGAGCTATGACATTTACACAGCTATTCGTAGTGTGACTGGGTACCTGTCAACCCGGGCTCAAAGGTTGGCTGCTACAGGCTATGTAGACCTATCCTTATTGGCTTGAAAGTCACAGTAACCGTTGTCAGCCTAAGTATTACAGTGAGGGTGGGGCATTATAAATGCCCTTATGTATTGGACTGATCTGCTGGCAAGCTCCCCTCATGAGCATTTACAAAGATTTTCAGTGTCATGTCCAGTATCCCTTCAACAGTAGTATGCAACTTTAAGGGTGAGCAAGCCATTGGCGTGGCACTGTTGTAAAATTATATTCTGGATATGGGAATAAGCAAGCAATGCAGTATAACTTGCAAAATGCCTTGGACAAAAGGGGCTGCTGGTGGAGAAGAGACCAGAATGCTGCGGTTTCTATAGCGGAACCGTAACAATCTCTTCCTGCTATTTTTACCCCAGCTCTTCTCATATCCCAGTGAATCTCATGGTAGCTTCTACCCTTTCCCACAGATGGCTTTGGAGCGGGGGGAGCAGAGCAGCCAAGAGGACCTAGAGCTGGCTCCCAAAGCAGGGCTGTTCCCTGTGGATCATCTAGAGTGCTGAGTCAGCCCCACACCTGTAATAATCAGGTCTCAAAGTTTCTCAAATTGGGATAAAATTGGAGGCACCCAATGTCACTCAACACATCTTGCACATGCCGTAAAGTATCATGAATGTTGCTGTTTTGTCACTAATGAAGGGTTAAATGCTGCTTGCTCTGCCATCTGACTGAGTTTCTTTTAAAAAAAATAAACCCTGTTTTTTAAAGCAAAACCACTTGATGCTAATTGTGCTGATGGTGGAGGTAAACTTAACTGCACCATTGTTTAGTCTCTCTCCATTAAGTCCTGTGGATAAGTTTATTGGCATGTCCTCTCATTTTTTAACTTGAACTTAAACCACTAACTAAGCTTTATTCCATCCAGCAAGTCTCAGCCTCTCCAAAGAATAACACTGGAGCAGAAGAAACTTAAGTATTTCTTGAAAGGAACTGTAATCTTCTATGAGAACATGATGTCCAGGTAGAGACAGTTACTGGTCTAGCTCTATCAGTACAATGCTCAAGTTAAAATCGTGTGAATGCAAGTCTCCTTGAATAAGAGTCCTTGTTTTCTGATCTTAATTTGCTTTGAAAGCAATATGGGTATCAGAAAAGAGCTCTCCTTGGAGATACAAATGTCCTGTCTACGTGGGGAATTCTACCTCTTGATCTTCCCTGTGGAACCACCCCCTCATCAGAACAACATTCCGTGGGGGAGCTTTGGGCACCTCCTACAAACACGAAAGACTCACCTATCCCTCACACAGCATGCAGTCTAATTTTGCAGCTGATGTGAAGAGAGCTGGACCCAAGTTGAAGTCTGTGTGCACAAGGATTACTGTAAAATCCCAGGATTACCTAGCTTTCCATGTAGCTACTGGATAGTTTCATCACAATAGCTTTTATATGCACTTGGATTTTGCTAATGTTGCATTATTTTACATTACTAGTCTCACTAGAGGGTCTGATCTTTAGGTATGTTCAATGCCTGCTTCTACGTATCCCAAGTAGAAGCGATTGTCTATATGCTGAGTTGTGGGAAAACGCTAGCACTTAAATTAGGATTACGCAGTGCCCAGGAATAGAATTGAAGAGTCTGAGGGGGGTGGGAAATACTAGCCTAGAGCTGTGCTAACTACTTTTAACCAAGCCGGTCTCTTGTTTTATCCGTTTGAAAGCCAGCAAACTACCTGCCTTTACTTGTGTTTTGCACACACAAAGCAAAACAAATAATTTCACCCTTCAATGGCTATTTGGACTATTCAGTGTACACAAAATCTGAGAGTCAGTACCTCGAAGTAACCTTGATGCGTCCGAAGTGTTTCTAATCCAAACACGGTAAGAACACAATGGCTCATCTAGCCCATGAGTGGGGAACCTCTGGCCTGCTGCTTAATGTCATCTGGCCTGAAGCCAGCGAGCCAGAACTGAGCTGGGTTGCCTGCCTGCCCGCCTCCTAATATACTTGAAATGCCGAGCTGCAGCAGGGGTAGGTCCCAGACTCGTCGCAAGCCAGGGCTGAGCCAGTGTGCTGGCCAGACTGCTAAAAACGTTACTGGCAGGAGCTGGGGGAAGGAAATACGCGTGTAGTCTATAGCATGGACCTATAAGCTTTTGCTTATTGGTTAATCAACTACACTATTATATCCCTACCATGATCCACTTGACTTCTCCTTAGACCGATTCCTGGAACAAAGAAAAGGTGGGAAATCTTGTGGTGAGGTCGTAGGAAATCTGGTCTCTTAAATTTTGCTGGAATTTGCAGATCTGAACTTCTCGTCTCACGCCATATTGAGTAATGGTCCATCTCTAGCCAAACCGTTTAACTGCAAAATCTTTCATCATCCTCACAGAATGCATATCAAAGAGTAACAGTAACCTGTGGCACCTTAGCATGTGTCTAGACTACAGTGGACTTTTGTTGACAAAACTATACCTGTGTTTACACTGCAGCTGAGTTCTGTCGATACAACATCGACAGAACTCGGCAGTTTTGTTAACGGCGGTAAACCTCATTCTACAAGGAATAACACCTTTTGTCGACAGAGTTCTGTTGACAGAAGGCATTATTGCATCTATACTGTCCTTTGCATCTACACTCTCATGTCGACAAAGCGCCTTGCTTTGTCAACAGAACTGGCTGTCGTCTAGACGCTCTTTGTCGTTA